ACAGTGACGAAGATATAAGCTCATCATCATCATCCGAGTATTCTAGTGAGAGTGAATACACATCCGACAGTGAAGAAGACACACTGACTGATGATTCTTCCGATGGTATGTTTGGCTGTGTATCTTTTAATAGATTATTGTCATGGACCTTGTTAAGAGTCAGGATCGGCTAGTTTGTTGTGTGCTATCATTATTTATGGGGTTTTATTTTTTAATTTATCAAACATAAACGGTTGAATAGTTATAAGTTTTTTTTTATGTCAGAGCTTTAAAATACTTCATCGCTTGTAGCTTTCCCGTACATTACATTCCTCTATGATTTCATAGTGTTTTTTTTTATTGCTAATGTACAATCTTACATTCACAATACAAAATGTACTTTTATCATTATTTTTTGCTTATGCTATTTAACAACCAGTTTTGGCAACTATATTTTATGTAAACCTATAATAATTATTCTCGATTTTCCAATGTCTATGAACCCACCGTGGTATTGAAATCTACTAAATTTATCTATATAAATATTGATTAAGTTGAAACTTACTGATGCGCTATGAATGATTATTTCTCAACATTGTACCACATGTAAAAGTAACAAAGCAAAGCTTCTATTAAGTAGCATTTTATTGGGCTACAGGTAACAGTGCTATTAAAAATATGAAATGTGGCTTAGAAAAGGCTATAAATTGTTTAGGCTTATATTCACATTTACAAGTTTAAATTTTTTCTGTGACACTGTACATCCAAGTCAATAGAGTTTATGATTATTTATTTTTCTGAAGATTCTCAATTGGGTGCACTGGATGAAACAGATAAACAAAATTATCGTCAGTAGTAATGTTAGGGGGGAAATGATCCTAGGACATAACATCTGCTGATACCTGAATCAGCAAATTTTTAATTTTATGTGACTGTAACTGGAACCTCTGATTACTGGAAGAGCTTAAAATTCCTAGAACACTCCCTAAAATACTTTTAGCACTTTTCCATAATCTCACTAGTTTTATTGTATAGAGTCGTTGATATTAAGTAAGGTTAAACTAGTTTTTATACTATACAGGTCTTCTTTAATCTTCCCAAAACCATATTAACATAAATTATTTTTACCACCATTATTACCATCATTTTTACCACTGGTTCAAATATTTACGATACAATTAATGATATCGAGATGACAGAATAGCATGATTAATGCAGAATTGCATGACTAATCCTCTTATGCAAACAAATTACAGGTGTTTAGTCAATAGAAAACATGAGTCATGACAATATTGTATTAGGTTTTACAACAACATGACATAGTCCTCTGATGAAAGTTTGAAAATAGAGAAGATAGAGAGGTAATAAATTGAAAGAATAACATACAAAAGTACAGCTGAGGTATTTTTAACATTATTTATATAGAAAGTTCCCTTTGGAAAGCAATTACGACCTTAAAGGGCAATTTATGAAATAATGGATAGTTTTACACAAGGTTTCTCGTCATGACGAACATTTTAAGTATATGGTTTATGGGAGTGTGACTTGTAGTTTTCTCAAAAGTACTTTGGGCTTTATTAATGGATTAAGAAAAACAAAGAACTACACACTTGCCACCAATTAAAGAAACAAACATTTAATATTGATTCACACTAACTTAACCAACCAGCCAAGAACTAGGGTGCTGATCTGACTTATATCAAAATTTGAACAATTTCACACTGAAATCAAAATTAAAAAACAGTTGCTCTTCAAACTAGTCAAATTAGCCAAAAATGGTATATCAAGTTCTAACTGTCATCGAGTAAACAAAATTAAAACAAGAAGATGATTTACAATTTGTCTATTTGATAAGCGCGTCGAGACTACACAAAAATGAAATAAATAAAATTGTTGACAGGTACATTCAATTTCACCATATTTTGAAAGAAACCAAAGAGTCCAGTTTAATATTTATTTAGCATTAAAATATTTTCCTTTCGGATTTAATGTTCTGAATAGTGTTAATTATATTATTGTCATTTAGTCTACTTGATTTGATAAAAAAATTATATAAAATCAATTTCTTTTAACTCTTTTTTAAAAGTAACAAAATTATGGATGTAATATCGCTTGATGAATGAAAAGTGCTGGATTAGTGCACCGGTAGATTACCAACAGTCTACTGTACTTAGGTACATTTCCTACACATTTATAGTTGTAAGCATTATATGACCGTAATCTTGGCTGCTTTGGCTGTAAGATGGCTCTTCCCTAAAGAAAAGACAGTGTTTTTTATGGGTGCGTTACCTACTAGTTTGTAGGCCTACTGTTCAAAAATTGTGCATTTTAATTTTCGAAAACTTTATTTATGTTTTAAGCACAGCGGCCAACTTCAAAAATTTTAATTGTAAACCACATCATTCTTCTTAAGGTACTTTTTTGGTTCTATTTATAAAATCAAGTCATTTTCTGATTTTTTTTCAGCTGTGTAATGTTTAGGTGTGTTAGAAAAGTACCGGGTGTTTCAATATAAATAGCTGGGTTTTAACGCTTTATAACTTTTATACTATTAAACTTACCGCCATAAAATATGCATCAAATGAAAAAGCAGCTCAAAGAGTTTATGCCTTCCAAAGACACATCATTTAACAAAATTGATCCAGCAGAACTGTAGATTTAATTGTACGAAGTTAAAAAGTAATCTCCAACTTTTTTTCACCACTAGAAATTCGGAGGTTCTTGACGTTTTTGCAAATAACTTTTAAATGGTGAGGAAATCGACCAAAGTGGAAGGTAATATTCCGAAGGAGAATAAAATTTCCTACAATCTACTACTATGCATTTCATGAAAATACTCAATAAATGTGGCCTAAATTTGGCTTAAAATAAAAAAAGTGTGTAATTTAATGTTTGCTATGTTTATTGTCTACATTGAAGACGGGGATTTATGGTACCTTTCTTGAGTATTTAAAAAAATGCATTATAGTAGATTGTAGGCAATTTTATTCTCTTTCGGAATATTACCTTCCACTTTGGTCGATTTCCTCACCATTTAAAAGTTATTTGCAAAAACATCAAGCAACCTACGAATTTCTAGTGATGAAAAAAGTTGGAGATTACTTTTTAACTTTGTACAATTAAATCTACAGTTCTGCTGGATCGATTTTGTTAAATAATGTGTCTTTGGAAGGCATAAACTCTTTGAGTTGCTTTTTCATATGATGCATATTTTATGGTGGTAAGTTTAATAGTATAAAAGTTATAAAGCCCCAGCTATTCATTTTGAAACACCCGGTACTTTTTTCTACTTACTTTTTACCACTTACTTACTTTTACTTTTTTCGTAGCTGCTACTAAGGGCAAAATTATTTTTAAAACCCCTTTATGTCAGAGTCAAGATTAAAGTTAAGCTATTTAAAAATAGTACCTGGGGACCGTGGCATAATTTATTACCATTGTACCCTATATCAAGTAATCTTCAGTGTAATCTTTGCTCAATAGTAACAACTTATGTGTTTCCCTTTGTACTGTATTTTGTAATTTGCTAGTATACTGTGGATGAATTTTTACAAACACATGTTACAAGTCTTTTGTTTGCTTTTCCTTGTTATTTTGTTCAACCATCATGGTTACTTGGCAACCCATACGGCCAATGTTAAACAATTTTGACTTACAATTTCATTTTTTTACGTAATTAGAATTTTTGTTGGCGGTTTTAACTGCAGTCAACACGATTTTAGGCTAGTTATAAATTATTAACATCATTTGAAGGAAATCGTCAAAGCAGTTTACGAGAACTTTGGGCAGCAAACATTGCTCATTTAAGAGTATAGGATAATACATATTTTTAATATTTAACATATTTAATAAATATGAAATTTGTTGGTTGGTGAAAAAAATTGAATTGTGAGTACACATAACAATATTGTATTTAATCGTAATTCAATCTTTTTTCATGAAATTATATGTTAACCTTTGTTACATTGTTTTATCTAAATTTAACAGTACTTTGCACAATTTCAAAACCGGACTCATTTGTTCATGTTGAGGTTGAGTGAACGCTCGACAACGTTTACAATAGTTGCCAAAACTTTGGTCTGCTTTGTAGAGTGTGATGTCAACTGCCACCGCAAGTGTGAAAAGTTGATGCCGAATTTGTGTGGTGTTAACCAAAAACTTATCGTAGAGGCACTGTCTTCCTTGAGGAAGGGTAAGTACAATTTGCTGTCTTGATAAACTCTGTTCAGTTTTTTCTTTCAAATAATCTTATTTTTTAGAATTGAGTTGTTTAATTTAATATAATTGTTGTGCATGTTTTGAAAGTTAAAAAAATCGAATATGTTAATTTTTGTTTTATTAATTTATTTAATGTCTCGTGTATATTCTGAATTTTATGTTATTCAACTATTAGTTAATTTAATATATATATAAACCTTTTTCACAAATAATTATTGTTTTAGGGTTGTACAAACTGGTAGAGTCAGTTTTTTGGCTACAGTGGTAATTTTCATTCAACCCCAGTGTTGTATTTGATTTAGGATTATTTTAATTAATAATTTGTTAAAATAAAGAGTGATTAAAAGTGAAAAGCCCCGTCCTTCACTATTTACTTTGAGACTATTTCTGGACAGAGGTAAGAATAGATGTGTGGTAATGGGCTGGATTTAGCCTAGCAGGTGCCAAACTGCAAATCTTCACAGAAACTTAGTCCCTTAAATTATATTTTGTTTATAAATGCTGTTGCTAAATAAGCTATGTGCAGTGATGTAAAATACCCAGGTAATTTAAACTGCAGGTAATTCATGAATAAACTATGTCCATGCCTATATCTTGGGACTTTACCATTATCATAAACACCTGGGTGTATATGATTATTTAGCTACTTGCAACACACAAGTTTTAAATCAATATGTCCATTGGAATCTTTTGTATGGGCCACCCAAATTTCTAAAATTGTAGACTAACATAAACTGTATGCATAAACTGTATGATGATGATGTATGATAACAGAGAGTTAATTTTATAAAGGTTATTTTAACAACCAAACATTGTACTGTGTATCCAACACGTTTAAGTAAATATTATTTTGACAGTATTGACTTATATTTTTCTGGTACTATTAAGACATTATTTCTCAATAACGTATAAATCTTACTTTGCTAATAACTTTTTTTACTAACTTTAACCTCTCACAAAACGTATAATGTACGGTATTAAATAAAAATGTAGAATGGATTAAGTTGTCACAAATAGTAGAACTCCAATATGCAAACTTATAACAAAATTTAGATGAAAATAGTTTTTGTATTTGGTCTACGAGATTGGTTCATAAAATATAAAAAACAGCATATACTGTAGATAGCAATTGTAACGAGTTTCACTGCATCGTGGATAACAGTTTTTGGCGACATTCTGTGTACAATTAGATATGACGATCAATCACCCCACGTGATGCCGCGTCTCGCGTAATGATTTCCGAGTCCTGCGCCAACGTATAAAAGCTTCTGGCAACCAGCAGCTATTTATTTTCAACTGTTTTTCTATTTTGGGCCGCAATCATTCTCTCTTTTTCTCTTTGCGTTGTGAGATGGCGCACATGGTCACATTTCTTTTGTCCCCAGATCAAAATAAATCGGGAAGTGATTGCGTAGTTTCGGTTGGATTCGACCTCCAAATCGAATCTTCTTTTAGCTAGTATCTACGTTGGTTTCGTATTTTTGTAGATGTGTGGGGTATCGAATTATCCCTCTTGCCATAGTTCACGATGCAAACCAATAGATTGGCTAAATACTACATCAATTTTGTCATCGGAGGTTCAAGTGTTGTGTGTCAGTAATTTTTCTTTTACCAAGACTTAAGTTAATTGTCTTAATTTATTTGCAAGTAAGTAGTAGTTCTTGAAAGAAATAAGTATAAAAAATAAATATCTACTATGTATGTTCTCTGTTATTCCTCTTTTCTGTTGTTGTAATGTTAAAATCTAATTATTACTTTTGTAAGCGAATAAAAATTTATGTAAAAAAGTATTTTCAAAAACTAACATTCATCTTTTCAATTTTGTTGTTTAAGATTAACCAATCCGCCTGTTATTTTTTTTATATCATATTACAATCAAATACTTATTTAAACTGCCTAGTCCCGGTGAAAGCCCTTAACCACAATTTGTGTTAAAAATAACGATTTTGTAGGGATATTACATTTGAAATAGGTATTTTAATTGGTTTTGCTAAACGATTTAAAGGGCTGTTTGGTTTTGAATGGCAAAGGACTTACCTCAAAGATTACATTCATGGCAGTCCAATTAATAAAGTCATAATTTATCTAGCACTAGCCTAACTAAATGACTAGCTAAATAAATATTAGACTGATGGACTAAAAATCTTTCATTTTAATAAAATAACTTTACATAAATATCCTATCCTACTAATATTATAAATGAGAAAGTTTAGATGTATGGATGTATGTATGTATGTATGTTTGTGACAAGTAAACGCGGAAAATACTGGTCGGATTGGGCTGAAATTTGGCATGATGATAGCTCACATTCCCAATTAACATATAGGCTAGGCATATTCTTATCTCAAAAATCTTTTCGGGCTCCGTCCCAGTGGCTCTGCAGTTCCCCATGTTAACATTTTGAGTATTCATATTTTTAAAGGGAAATTTAGCCAGCTAAGTAAAAGAGTTGGTTCTATGATATGCAAAAGCATTAAAAATTTATAAGATTTACCAACAGGGTGCAGCACTATTATTTTTTTCAGAAACAAAAAACTGTGATACGCAATGAGAACTGTTAAAGTAGGATTTTTATTACAGTTATGTTTATGTTTTTAATTTGTGATATTTTGCGAATTTTTAATAATCTATCTTTCTCTATTGTGTAGGTGAAGTGTTAGAACATTATGGCTATGGTAGATGTGTAATACTATATAGCCTACCGTGTCTTCTCACATTGCAAACGCAAAGATCGAGTATAACTGCATTAATACTTATTTTCCAACCCCGTACGAAGGACGGGTACTCTGCTAGTAACTTATAAATATAACTTAATAAATATAAACTTTTAAAAACCTTTGTCTTCTTCAGTTTTTGCAAGTGTAAATCTGGACAAGGCGAAAGTGTTGAAACCACAACAATAAGTGGTCTATTGTCCCCTTTTTTGTACTACCCTACTCATTGTATGTTAAAAATCTGCTCATTAAGAATATTTACGATCAGTATCATTACTTGGCTCATTAACTCCAAAACGCTGTTTAATCTAGAAATATTGTCTGTTTTCATCATCCAACAGTTGCAACGTTGTCGTATTTTAGGCCTTTGACTCTTGTCACTTCTGGCAAAGACCCAGAGAACATTCTACTTGTCCTGGTAGAGGGAATATATTCACTCCATGTGTTCTGTTTTGTCAAGAGTGTTATTTTTGTCGATCATTTGACCATTTCCTACTAGGTTTGTTTAATGAGGTGTAAAAAATACTCTTTGATGCTTAGTTGTTTTTTTCTGTAACCAATTTTCTATGCAAAAAGGTTTTACTAAACTGTTGTATGTAGGCCTACTTAGTTTATTTACACAATTTGAGGGGTTTGAAAACATTGAAAAGAGTTTTGAAAACAACAAATCACTGTAACTCTAACTTACGTTTAACTTTCAGTTGGTTCCAGGTTTTCTAATTTGGCTATCTTAGAGCAAAAATAACTTGCTACCCTGTTAGATTATCCTTTATCGATTAGGTTACTCCTCTGTATTCACATTTGTAATCCTAACATCAATAGATGTCTTTAACCTTGTAGATTGAGGTTATAATCATATTTTTATAAGTCACTCAGAAGTGTATTGGTTTTGGCAGACAGTTCCAAATACACTGGCACCTCTTTAACCAGCTCAAAGATCATGGCATTGTATCAAAACCAATGGTTTTTTTAAGTAAACCCATTTACTTTTAACTTTTTAAAAACACTCCAAGGTAACAAAGCATATTATTTTATCTAGTTAAAAATAAACCGTCCAGATTTCAAATCTATCATAAAATTCTTTACAAATTCCATCCAGAAAATAAAATAATTATACGGTATAAAAAAAAAAAATAAAACATTTACCGCCTTACCGGTATAATATAAATTTTAGATGAGCTTTTATACTATAATTTCCTATCATCAAAGATTATATTAGGTAATTTATTATACAGTAATAAACCTTGTCACCAGCGTAGAAATGAGACACCTACCTTTCTGACCACTGTTTCATACTGTCACACGGTTTGGCTATTACTCGTTTTGTGTTAGCTGTATTAATGTTTAAACATTTTATCCATAGTTTCAGAAAAATTATTATTGTCAAAAACTTTTATTCAGTTAAAACCAAAGTAAGTTCATCCCAGTTTAGTCCATAACTGACTATTTCCTTGCCATACATTACTCCTTGGATTTTAAGTGGTTATAATTTCACATCACAACTAAAAAGATGCTTTATCACAGTTTTCAGTTCTAACATATCACAGTTTTCAGTTCTAACAGTCACGTATCAAAGACTCTCTGTCACCACTGGATGTGTATTGAGTGTTGAAACATTCTTGAAGACACTACTGCTCTTCACTATTGTAGACCTAAGGACCTGTTACTTTTTCCAATTCAATTTCAAAGTCATCACACAAATTCATGGCTCAAATTCAGAAATGAAAAGGTGACATGTCAGTACAATTAGTACGATGCAAAAACTGTTCATTCAGGATCAATGCAATGTATACAAATATTTTCATTACAGATTACGCAAAAAGATAGCTTTTAAGCTCAGTCCCAATGTTTTTTAAATCAATTCAGAGTTAAGCTGTGCAAGGTATATTCTTCAAGGTATATTCTCTCCCATTTATCAAAATACAAACGGTTTGGCCTACTCTTTGCTCAGGTAAATTTTTTAACGAAAAAATAAATTCACCCCCTATGAAATGTAGCACTTGAAGACGGTTAAGGCACTTTGCCACTACCGCAACACACCCCCTTGGCTTCACCTTTCCATGCTAAAGCATTGCATTAATAACAAGCATTGACCTTGGTGCCATGGACACTTTGAACCAGCAGCCAAACAATTTAGACAATTTAATTGCTTTATATTTGTATATTGTCGGGTCAAGCATTTCTTGGTTTTCGTGGTTGGAAGGATATAGTTGTATCCTGTATCACTGTGGTCTGTGAGTCCATGATCCCAGCCTCTTAA